GGGCACTCCACCAATCCACCGTCACTCCACTCCTCGCATCCACAGGTAAACGACGATCTCGAAAGGTGTAAGATACGATCCCGAGATGCTCAGATGCCCCGACCCACACTCATAAACATTTGATGAAGCGTACAAAATGCCATGCGAAGAGAAATGTTTTTTAACTCCCCCACTCCAGTGCAGCACTCCATCTGTCTATGATCTCCATCTCCTCTGGTTTCTCTGGCTTTCCCATCCCATCCCATCCTATACCGAATTCAAAAGAAAGCCTCGAGAACAGACCCTTGATGTGATTCCTGGCCGCTCTACAGGTTGTCGGATTCATTGGACCCGTCGTGATCATCACCATCGATGTCTGGAAGTCGAGGCGTTACTTTCAAGTGCCACGCAGATTAAGAGTAACAAAAGATCGGCTCAGGAGGCGCTCAAGTGTCTCAGGCCGACTAGGGATGCTCCAGCCCATAGGGCGCAACGAATTCGTTGCATTATGAAGTGTTGCACATTGGCACATGGTGCTCAGCAGTGGAAAAAACAAATACATACCTATGTACATAATACATAACCACGGCCAAACATTCCTTTATTTGCGAACATTTTATTGCAAATCCATCTTAAAGGCTGTGGAACATAAAGACCACGATCCTAACTCATTCAAACCTCTAGAAATTACGTTTTTAAAAAAGTTTCTTATTTGTTTTTTTATAATGTGTGAAAAATGAATTCCAGATTCTTATTATATAATATAAAATTTGTAGGCAAACATTTACAAAAAGAATAAATAAATGAAGACAAAAAAATGAAAATATATAATTCAAATTATATTGATTTACGAATGTCTAAAGCAAACTATTGGAGTCAAGTTTAATAATTAAGTCCAAAAATATGCCAAGCTTCCAGCTATTTATAGAGTAGAATGTGATTAACCCAGGTTATTAAATAACCATTAGCATATTTGAAAGAAAAGTGGCTTTTAAAATCGGAACTATCCCGGTTTCTTGACCAAATATTGCCTTAATTTTGGCCAACTTTAAGCGCGTGCCAGCCCTAACACCTAGAGGCGCGTAATTGGATTACCCGGCCCTTTGGCAGAGCCCTGTGCCTTGGCAATCCGTCGATACAGATGATAGATCGATCAGATTCCGGCTGCGGTTGTGCTTCATCAGCATTCAACTTGTCACATGGCTGTGAAAAGCTGCTTAGAATTAAAGCTAATTGCTGGGGCCCCAACCATGATGCGGCACATTCGAGTTGGCTTTGATGGCTCTTTAGGGCCCAGTACATTCCTCCTATTCGGTCGGCTAATTGGTCATACGATCGACCGGACAGCAGCCTTAACTTTAACCCCAGTCGAAGCGGCAGGCGTGCAAATACGCAGAAACTTTGACTTCATCTCATCGTTTTAGCATAAAGAGGTTTTGTTTTTATTTTTGGTTTTCTGGTTTTTACTGATTTTTTTTATTGATTGTCGCCGTCGTCTGCTGTGCTGTGTTGGTGCACGACTCACGTTTCAGAAAACACACAAAAAACACAACAAGCGGGGTATAAAAAAGAAGAAATACAAAATAAAGAGTGCCTCAACGTCTCTCCAATCGACTTTTTTTGAGTTTTTTGAGCTTAGCGCTGTGTTCGCTGTGTGTTCCTCGTATTTTTATTTCGCCGTTCGCTTTTCGTTCCTTTTTAATGTCTTTGTAAACATAATTGCAACAACTCCAATAACAGATTGTTTGCGCGACTTTAATCGCTTTGTCGTGAAGTGTGAAATATGAGCGTCCAAGTCGCTGGGGAGCTTTGGCCGTGGAGCTAAGCTGCGTCTCGACCTCCCCGAGGGTCCCAGTACTCCCCCGCCCGGCGATTTATAAATATATACCCTCGAAAATAATATTTTAGTCCAGTCTGTCTTGCGACGACCATAATATTTGCAATGTGTGGCTTGTGCCGCTAAATGTAAATTATGGTAAGCCATTGCAACAATGTCGGGCGGCCATTTTGGCGAGCGTACGGCAACAAGTTCAATTAGCGCATCGGTTCGATTTGCTAAATTTAATCCGGGCATAAAGCACGAAGTGAACGCCACTCCGGTCAGATAAGCAGAAGCACCTCACCGTAGAAGAGAGAACCTGGTGGCGATAAGCGCGGAGAGAAGTCGAGAATCCGAGATGCCGAGAAACGGACGTTTTAGCCACGCACACGTGTGCTGCACGCAGAGAAATCGGAAACATTCATAGTTCTGTATTGTACTGATAAGTACTTTTTCATATCCAACTCATTATCTTACTGTAATGTATAAAGAAACATTGCAATAATAATAAGAAGAGATCAATCATTTAACAAGATTATCATATCATTTCATACTATATGGATTGAAAAACTTGGCAATTATAATAAAAAGCAGGGAACGTAACTGTTATAAGTTTTATTTTAAAAATCACACTTTAACAGTTATTTTCTGATTTGTAAAGTAAAACTCAAAGAATAACTGTTATTTTTTGAGTTTTATAATAAAAGTTGACAAATAACAGTTATTCGTCGTGATCAAAATAAAACTCAAACTTGATTTATGGCGATTTTGTGGGTAAACAAAATTTTAAAAAAATATAGGTATAAAATATGCGCGGTTGCCTTTTTTAACAAATTTTTAGTAAGTTATAAAAAGCACGGGTATTATGTTTTTTTTTAATTATTTCATTTTTTCAAAAATGTCAAGGGAATAACTGCTATTCATAAAAATCAAAAAATAACAGTTATTTTTTGAGTTTTATTATAAAAATCAAAAAATAAAAATCATTACGGATTTGTAAACTACAATGGCTAATAAAAATTGTGGTGTATTTAAAAAATTTTTAGGACCCTTCTAAGTGCGTGATTTTTTTGTATGAAAAATTTACAATAAAAAGAGTTCAATCAGTAAACAAGTTACTAGATCAAAGGTAAATAAATATAATAGTTCATAGAAATTTTACTTGATTCTCCCCCATAATAATATTATTTTATACTTATTTAACTGTCATCAATTTAGAGTAATCAAATATAATTATATTCCAAAGTGAAATCAATTTCAGAAACGTAGGTGATCTTTTTCAAATTAAATCATTAAAAGAATTTATAACAATAGCTGTGAAATAAAATAATATTGATTATGCAAATGAAGCAAACAATATTTTTAGAATTTTTACCAACGGGGAAACCCCTCGAACCAATAATGGCTATAATTTCTCTCAGTATAGCGATTGGGTATGCGTTTGCTTTGCCTTTGCCTTTGGACCTTGGAGTGCAGGGCGCCCGTCGACAACAGCATGTTGCAACAACACTCGACAGCGGCAACCTGTGGAGCCTGCGTGCCATTAGCCATGGAGCATGAAACAAAAGCCGAGCCACAAAGATGGAGCACTCGGGAGGAATGGATCGGAGTGGAGTGGAGAGGAGAGGCCTGCCACAATGCATTTGCGATAAATGGCAGGCTCGGAGGCCTGGAAGGCCCTTAAAAGCCAGCGACAACAGCATAAGCGAACAGAACGGAGCGACGAGTACGAAGAAGTGAAAGATTTGCGCAGTGAGATAGCTCATTTTGGATCTGAGCCGGGTCTGGGCCAGTTCTTCGTTTGTTACCTTGGCTAATCGGCGGCTATGTAAGATGGTTGTTGTACGTGCGGCGACAGAGCAGCCAGAGCAGCCTCGGCCCAAAGTCAAGACCACGAACGTGCTTTTGCTGTTGCCTGTTGCCTGTTCGATGTTGCTGATGTTGACACCAGCAACAACAGCAGCAACATCGGTCCTCAGCCGACCACAGCCGCATTCCGAAATGTAAGGATTCATGCAGCCAAGAGGGCCGCCCCACTGGCAGCAGCCCGGCAAGGTCAATAAATCCAGAAATCCAGATCCACTCCCGATTAGTGATGGCTAGGGTATTATGGCGTTTACAAAGGATATATAAGGTAAAAGGGGTTTTGTCTTTCGAAGTTTATCGAAAGTGTTCAAAGGGCTTTCGGAAATATTATTTATTATTTATTACAGTACAAAGAAAGTAAGAATGAACAATAAATTTTAATAAATATTGCAACAAATAGATACCAACTTTTAACTAAATAAATACAAAACACGTTCTTTTTCTCCAAAAAATAACCAATAGAGATACCTGACCATCATTTGCCTATGAGTAACCCATCGTCTAGAATTCAAAGCGTCTCAGAACAAAGGCATAAAAACACCATTTATAAAAGCAACGCTTAATTTTACCTGCTTGTCACATAGTGAGTTCAAACAAAGCACTCATAATTAGATGAAAATTAATTTCGTATCATCTCTATAGCTTGAAGTTCGAAGTTCGAACATTCCAATTCGAATATTCAAATTCCAATGCTTTTCATTTTTTGCGGCTCATTTGCTTATTTCTAATGAAAATGATTATTTCAGCCGTTGTTGTTGCTGTTGTTATCTCTCTTCACCTGAGCTGTGTGTTTTTTCTGAGTGTGTGCAGTCAGAGTTTCGAACTTAAACCGGTTTAGCGCAAAACGGCAGCAGTCAGCGTTGGCCGTTACCAAAGCTTCGACTTGGCCAGCAAGAAAACAAAAGAGAGAGAGAGAGATCGGAGAATGAGATGCTGAGATGAGGCGAACCAAGCCCACACGCCAATCGATCTTACCTCTCTTTGTGGCCATATGAATTTCCGAAGAAACGATTGCTCAGCATCCGCAGAGACAAAGAGAAATAGGGGGAATTCTTGGAGATAGTGGGACTTTATTTCCCCTCACTCGCTGAACAGGGAAAAATCCTCTCAGCCTTAGTTTTATATATCGAGAATAAAGTCCTAATGAATAGGAACTTATAGAAACTATCTCCAAAGAACCCACCAAAAAACCAAAGCTGACATTCCATTATATTAATCAATTGTTTACATAAATTTAATAAAAATCTTGGAAAAACCCAGGGACATAAAATGTATTTCTTGTTTTATTTAAAAATGTACTTGTGTGTTTTTCGGCTTATCACCGAGTTTGCCAAATAACAAAACCCGGGACTCAGGGCTCCCAATCTTTTAGTGCGAGCTTTGACATGAAGATCGCAGCAGCTGTTATTACCCTGATTTCTTGGATTATCAGTGGAAATGGCGAGGCACCCATACATGTTTCCTTTCTGGAACCCAATTGCGGAGTTTCGATTTCGGGCTCTAGAACTGCAAGAAGCTATAGCAGTAATATAATCCATGGTCGCCCGGCAGATATGTTTGGTAATCCATGGATGGCATTGATAAATAGTCAGAGAACTATGTGTGGTGGATCGCTTATAACAAACCGTAAGTATTCAAATGGAAAAGGAAAAACATATTGGAATATTATGAAAAATATCTATGATTTATAGGATTTGTGCTTAGTGCTGCCCATTGCCGAAGTAATACTCCCACGTGAGTATCTTTGGATATTGAAGTTTTAAAGATCTTTAACAATGTGAGATTTGATTTCAGTGTAGTATACCTAGGGGAGTTCGACAGATCAACCATCACTGATTGTACCACCACAACCTGCATGCCAAACGTCATTGGAATACCCGTCGATGCTCAGATAACTCACCCAAGATATGTTCATCACTCCCAGAATGATATAGCTCTCTTTCGACTGTCCAGGCAGGTGGAGTATACAGGTCGGTAAAAAGTCAGTTCTGCAATAATCTATCACTATAAACCCAACCTTTCATAGCCTTCATAAAGCCAATTTGTCTGCTGACCAACTACAATCCCTTGGATCACATCAGATCCTTGACTGCCACGGGATGGGGCACTACAGAAACCGGAGCCACTAGCAGCATTTTAAGGACAGCCATCTTGACGCAAGTGGATCGATCGTATTGCTCAGCCATATATGGTAACATAGTGGATCGATCCCATATCTGCGCCGGCGACTATAACTCGCATACATGCATGGGTGACTCTGGGGGTCCAATTTCCGCTATGATACCAATTGGCGGTTCAAACCGTGTCGTTCAGCTTGGAATTGTCAGCTATGGCGACGTCGAGTGCAGACAACTGGGGGTTTATACGAATGTCAACCATCATATTAACTGGATAGCGGAAGTTGTACGACAAGCTCCGAACGTAGAGCGTTCTTTTATCAACCCAGGACAACCTCAGCCAACTCAACGTCCATTTATTAACCAAGGACCAAATTACTATTATTTTCCTTGGGTTTACATTGGATGATTCCTGATTTTAAGCTAGAAAGCTTTTAAACTATTAAAGAACAAATAAAGTTTGTTTTTGAAGCATAAAATATCGCTTCTTTCTGTGTAGAATTCTTATCAATAACACTGCAATATCGCGAGGGCTTTAAAATCAGCGGGAAATAACCCAATCTTAAGCTCCGGTTTACGAACAGTAAATCCGCACAGCTGAAAAATGAAGATCGCTGAGAACGCAATACTGCTCGTACTCGCCAGTTTATCAATAGTACTGGGATTGAAAACTACCAAATTTCTGGAGGAACCTTGTGGTATTATTCCTATTCGAAGGTATAGAATATTTGGAGGTCATAATGAGCCCAAAGGAACCAATCCTTGGATGACAATGGTCATGGTCCACTTAGACTGGATTTTAAATACAGTTCGCAGGGGAGAGAATATTTAGTTATAAATGTAAATGATCAAATAAACTGTTTTTAAGAGATGCAAGATAGGAAAACGTTGTGTGTAATAATATTGTTATTCGTATTTCTATACTCATGAAACAATGAAGATAAGCTTTGTTTTCGCAACGAATATATTAATACAATGCGCAGGCCTTCCTCGGCATCATTAAGTTCGAAATGAAATCGCTGCTAGCTTGTATTATTCTCGGAATCCACGGATCGATGGCACAAAGTTTGTTAGATCCGGACTGTGTGAAAACCCCAATTGGCATTAATATTCAAATAATTGGAGGACAAGATGCTGACATATTACATCACCCCTGGATGGTGCAGATACTTATGAGGGGCTATCACTTTTGTGGAGGATCGCTGATAACCTCACGTATGAGTTTTTTCCTGAATCTTATAACCAGGATTAATAGGTGATCATTTTTTCCAGGATTTGTTTTAACAGCAGCGCATTGCCAGAGCCACAATCCTTCGTAAGGAAAGAGAACTTTAAAATATCCCCATTCAGCTGAAATAAGACCTATTTGTGTGTTGACTTCCAACGAGAACATACATCGGCGGGCGTAAGCTATGTGACCATGTTTAATGTCACTGGCTGGGGAGAAACAGAGACAGGATTCGGCAGCCTGAGACTTCAGTCAACCAGCTTATATCATCTCGATCGGAGACACTGCTCCAATGTCTTCCACAGGTCATTCAGTTGGCCCCACATCTGTGCTGGCCACGCTTATACCTCCACTTGCACCGGAGATTCCGGAGGTCCGTTGACCGCAGAGTTTACCTTTTCGGGTGTAAAGCGTCCCTATTTGTTTGGCCTAACCAGTTATGGTGCTCCAAATTGTCGCGATGCTTCAGTTTTCACCAATGATTTGGAATTCACAGCTTGGATAAGATATATTGTTAATAAATATACTCCCTAATAAATACACTTTATTTCCTTACTTAAAGGATTTTCAGTTGATAAAGTATATACAGAAATGTTGCAACGCAATATAATCGAGTACGGAGAACTCAAATCGGATCTTATAATTCCCGGAATCTATATATACGACGAATAACATGGAATCCGGACCACTGACCGCTTACATTATCGATAAGCTCGACTGTGAGATGTATTATTAAAGGCGTTGGCATTGTGGTACCCCAGTAATTCTCAGTTGGTGCTTTATTATAGATGCATATAATGGGAACTGGAGCAGTAAGACTCCTACTTTTACTGGTCCTCGGGTGTCTGAAGGTTCAGGGTGTGCCATATCTGCTGGACCCGCAGTGCGTTTCGGCTAGAACTGAGCCAGGACATTATCGTGTGATCAATGGCAGGGCTGCAGATCTACTTTCCAATCCCTGGATGGTGATAATCATCGAGCGTGGAATGATGAAGTGCGGAGGATCATTGATCACACAACGTAAGTAGTTGGCTATGTACTAAGAACATTAATTAATTTGTGGATTTCTTTAGGTTTTGTATTGACAGCTGCGCATTGCAGAAGCGAAACAAATAGGCAATTGTAAGTGATTTTTTAAACATAATTAAACTAAGTAATTAAACTCCCTATTCAGGATAGTGCGTTTGGGGGAGTATGACGTTAATCAGCCCTTCGATTGCACGAGCTATGGCTGCATTCCCCGTCCCAAGGAAATAAATGTGAGTAGGACATATGTGCATGGGCAGTATAACGACTTCCACAGCAATGATATAGCTCTACTTAAACTGGAAACGGCAGTGCAGTACGGAGGTGAGGTTATAGAACTAAGTATAAGCATATAAAAAACAAAATTTCCATTACAGAACACATTAGACCGATCTGCATGATAATGGGTGATTCGAATTGGTCGAGGAATATACTAAAAAACATAAACCAGTTCAACACCACAGGCTGGGGTCGCACGGAAGCCCGAACAAATAGTCCCGTCCTGCAGCAAACCTCCTTGATGCACTACAGCCTCAACTATTGTGCTCAGTACTTCGGAAGGCAGATGGATCACACCCACATATGCGTGGGGAGCAGCACAAGTGCCACGTGCAGTGGTGATTCCGGAGGTCCCTTAACAGCCAGGCTGAAGTTCGGCCGGGAAAAAAGGGTCTTCCTCTTCGGGGTGGTCAGCTATGGACCAGGTCACTGTTTTGGGCCCACTGTCTTTACCAATGTCCTCCCTTATTCAAATTGGATCGAGTGGCAAACCAAGAATAACTGAGAGAGTCAAAAATAAATAAATACTTAATTGTGTTAATTCTTATATCAACAGGGCAAAAAACGGTTTTATAAATCGCATATCTTTAAGCGTCTTCAATAAATACAAAGTATATATATGCAAGCATTTCTTGATAAGGTATTCATTGGTACGCTGCTTATTGAGATATTTTAGTTTGTATGCATCGCTCCCATCGAAATGTACTGGGTTTTATTGTTAGGGTACCATTTCTTAGGAAATCACCAAGTAAGTGGGCAATTTCTGGAGCCAAACTGCGGTTACATGTCCCCGGAGGCTCTGCAAAACGAAGGACATCAAGCCCACATATCGGAGAGTCCTTGGATGGCTTATTTACATGACTCTGGGAGGTTTGTGTGCGGCGGATCGCTTATAAACCAAAGTAAGTTAGTAACTTTAGATCCCAGCTATCTTCTACTAACTCCTTATATTTCCTAAGGATTCATCCTGACAGCTGCACATTGCATTAACAGCGAAGAGAATCTGTAGGTATTTGATGAATCCATGAAACTTGATTCAAATAATCCCCTATTTCCAGAACAGTGCGTTTGGGGGAGTTCGATAGCTTGACAAGCCTCGACTGCAGCGGTTCCGATTGCATTCCTCCCTCGGAGGAGTTCGAAATCAACTTGGCCATTCGGCATAGTGACTATTCGAGAACCGATCGCTACCATGACATTGGGTTACTCCGTTTGGCCAAGGCGGTGGAATATAAAGGTAAGAATGCAAAAAATCTCTTCGTTTTCCTAATTTCACCCATTTATACCGTAGTTCACATCAAGCCGATATGTCTGATCACAAACACCGCCCTTCAGCCGCGAATGGAGAGACTTCAGAGACTGGTGGCCACTGGTTGGGGCAGCGGTTCCTCCGGATCTCCGAGTCACATCCTGAAATCCATTCGAGTGACTCGAGTGGATAGGAGTGAGTGCCGCAGAAGGTACCTGGTCGACTGCCGCAGGGATCAGATCTGCGTGAGTCACGAATCCGGAGACTCGTGCAGTGGCGACTCCGGAGGACCCATGGGTCATGCTTTTCGATATGACGGCCGCGTGGTCTTCATTCAGGTCGGCATTGTCAGCTATGGCAACCCAGAGTGCCGCAGTCCCAGTGTTTTCACCGATGTAATGGGACATGTAGCATGGATCAAGTGGGTCGTCGACCGTCACATGATATAAATGTTAGCTTTAGGTTCCTCCGAAGAAACCTTGTTATCGGAATGTTTAAATAAATTGGGAATAATATATAAACTTGGCTAAAAAAAAGGACTTTAAAATGTAACTGCCAACCGACTGCAAGAGACATCTACCGTTGACATACAGAACCAAAGCTCTCTACATTGATTTTACAGTGTAATGTAGTGGTGTATATTACATTGTAATTTACAAGTTATTTTACAATGAAGGTTAGAAACTTGTATGGCGCGATCGCTAGGTATGGATACGAACTTGGATAGCGGTAGCGCAGAAACGAACCGATAAATTTGAATTTAGTTTAGTTTCCGGGTAAGAAACCTTGATGATCCTAGCAGAGATTACAACCGATTGCACACCTATCGATTTTTAAAATTATAGTCGTTACAAAATTAAATCTAAATTAAGCCGAAAATAGTTCATTAAAAATGAACATAGGCTTTAATTCATAAATAAAATTTATAATATAACTTTTCTCCTTATTTAAAAAGTCTTTAATGTGGTTGATATTTGAGTTTAACTGTAGGTTGGCCTTTTAATATAAACAAATAAATGTACTTACATATAAAGACTAAATTCTTAAATTTCTTAGATAAAAATACTTTCCATTCCCGCTCAAAACTCATTTTCGTAAACCTTTGTAACCGGGGACAAAATTCGATTAGCGTTCGATTTATCAGCATTATTCATGTTTGGAGTACAAAGGTGAGCCCTTGTCAGCGCCGATTCGCACCGCACTGTGAAATCACGAACACGAATAGAATCGAAGTTCGCGTGTGCCGTGTGCCATGCAAATCCACAGGTCTTCTGTCTGCCCACTGTGCTGGTTTCTGCGATGTTCCAGTTATGAGGCGGTCGCATAATGGCCGTCGTATCGCAGCATATAAACTAGTACGAAATACCATTAACCCCCGTGTGCCATTGTTGCCCGTCCACAGGTCATACTTTAACTCTAACTTCAGTTCTGCGTCGGCGTTGGCGCAAGCGCACTCGAATGGATCGAGGGATTCGGATTCGGGGAGGGAAGGGGATTGAATCGAGGGAGCAAAAGAACACCCGATGTGGGCAACCAGGCGTTAAGTTTTTCCAACTTCGTATTTTGGTCTGTGCTTTGTTTTGCTTTCTGTTTTTTGCTCTTTGCTTTCGCGGGGGCGGGGTGGGTCAAAGGGTGGGGTAAGGGAATTCCCTTTTGTCGGGCAATGCGCATGCGTGTCGGTGTCGCCACCACCGAACTAAGGGCCAAAAAAGGGGTAAGGGCGAGGGGTGAGTGTGAGGGGAAGTTGGCCTTTTGTCCAATATCGCAGAGTGCAACAATTGGCTGCCAGCTGGGTATCTGTTGCACTCACAAAAGTACACTGAGGAAAAAACTAGAAAATATCTCTAGCTCATTTAAGGATCATTAAAAAAACTGTCTAAAAATATAACAACATTATTTATCTTTGGTGGTATTTTTCTGACCATTTTTGTGGTACTGAACAATTAAATATCACTGAGGAACTTTGAAAATCCATAAATAAAAGAACTACAATATTTCATACTTTAAAAACATAATTTAGAAATACATAAATATTTGTCTAAACCAAAGAAAAAGTTATCTCAAATTTAATAATCACCAGAAAACAAAATTATAAGCAGTTTCTGGATAAAATTAGTACAAATCAAACAGATTTCATAATTTTTCTCTGTGCAATTACGCTGAGCGGTTCTTGCCATAAAACACCTCATGCATAACTTTGGTATCCCCCGATTCGTCGCCACGACAACGGAGAGTCGCGTTTTAGCCCGGCCAAAACAATTGTGCCACGGCGTTCCGCTGCCTGCGCTGCTTCAACCGGCGTTGCAGTTTAAAGTTGAATGCTGCATTTGATTACGATGCGGCGGCGATTGCCACAGTGGCCTTAATGAATTTCCAATTGTTTGGCATTTTATTCTCATTTGGGATTCTTGTTTGTTTGCTTGTTTTTTGGACAATCATTCAATGGATTTGAGCTAAACTTCGTCACGAGCTCAGCTGCCTAATTGCTTTACAAACCTTTAATTGTCGACTCACGAACGAGCATATAGAGAACCCAGATTGGACATCTGCAGCGAACTCACCTGCAAAGATAGAAAACAAAATGTTAACGATTAGCTGAGAGCTAAAAATTAAAATTTTTTGATAATGCTTAAAATGTATAAAAAAAAAGTAAAATGTTTAAAAGAGTCACTAAAAATCAAAATAATTATTCTAAATTATTTTACGAATTATATTTAGGAAGAAACATATGTATAAGTAGAAGTACTTATGTACATTTTGCATAAATAAATTTTGAATATTTTTTAGCCAAGCTTGAAAAAGAATATTGTTTAATAAAACATTCCCAGGAAAGCAATTTTCCCATTATTTTGAGAGTGTTGGAGAAGGGAGTGTTCGATTGATACCCACGGCAATTGCAAAACGCTGACAAATGTTGCTGTTGCCTGTTGCTTGTTGGCCGATTGCTTTCCCAGCACTTGCAACACTTTCGCTTCCCAGAGAGTTTCCGCAACCCAAAGCCCCTCCCCACCCCCCTCTTCACCCCATCCCACCAGCCGGCTTTCAATTCACACGCTGTGCGCCCAAACGCGAAAAAGTTCTCACGACACTGAAACAAACCAGAAAAAAAGATCGCGCCGAAGAGAGATGCCAGCCAGATGAGATGATCGTACACTCCCTTTTCGCACTCACTTTTTGTGCAAGAATTTTGAATGCATTTACCCCAAAACACAGTTGCAGATTGCACTGGCAATGTCAAGAATAAAAGCGAAGAAAAACAGAGCCAAGTCAAGGGAAATGGTGGCATATGCTTGATCGAGATCCAGATCCAGATCCCGATTCCCACTTCCAGATGCTAATTGTGGGTTAGCAGAGCTTCGCTCTTTGCTATATGTGCCAATTTTTTTTAGTTTTGTGTTCTCTTTGCGACGAAAGATACCGATACAAAGGTCAATGCCACACTTTGACAAATGAATTTCTAAGCGAAACGAGATCGTTTGATGCTGAATAATATGTTTGGTCATTCGGTACTCGCAGTGAATCATGCAAATTGAAATTTCATAATTTCTCGGAATCCCATTGTAAGGGCGATAAAAACACTGTTTCTAGGGCGAATGAGGTAAGAAACTGAAGCTAAGGAAAATTAAGAGATTAAGATGAGCCGGTATAAACCCCCGAAACCTCTGGAGAGAAAGTTATTCACGTTAAAAGTACTTTATCCTAAATTTTTTTTTGATTTTTTAAAAATTATTGGAGTGATTTAGAACGCTATTTTATAAGCTATTCATCTTGGTCTTATATAGTTTATTTTCGATATCAGGATCCTAGATGTGAAGTTATATTATATGTTTTAAACTAATCATTGTAATAAGATTTTTGTTGGTAACCCATTGCATATCAACCAAGTCTTTGTAATTTCAGTTCAAAGTAACTTATACATTAAATGTTGGTTTATTGTTAGGTTCTCCCATTTTCCTTTCTTCTATCCAGGACCCCCATTTTAGGATTGTTTTCAACCTAAATCTATCTTATTACATATATAATTTATTTTCGATATCAGCATCCTAGAAGAGAAGTTGTTTTTATGTTTTTAACTAATCATTATGTAGTGCTTCAAAAGTATTTGAAAGTCCTATTTATCTTATGAAGTACAAAGTAACTTTCATATTAAATGTTGGTTTATTGTTTCGTTGTGCCTTTTTCTTTTCTTCTACCCAGGACCCCCATTTTAGAATTGTTTTCAGCCTATCTCCATCTTATTGTTCAAGACGTTTTCGAGAACCGTAACTCCATCTCGTAAAATTCGATTGTGCTCTAAACGTTTTTCCGAATTCCCACAATTTCAGCATCCGCTATGAGGCAGCAATCTTTATCTCCCTCATATGCAAATGCCCACCTGACGGCAGACACAACAAGAGTTTGACCCACAGTGAACTCGAAACTTCGGAATGAGAAGCAATCTTCTCACATTATAAATCATCCAAGCCCGAATTTGAATCCGGAGGAGGCAGAGGGGCCGAATGTTAATTAAGTGCTAACTGCAGATTCTCAAAATCGTGGCTTCTCATGATTTGATGGGCCATAAAAATGTGTAAATATATTGCGAGTTCGTAGGCGGATGTTGGACGTATTAAAAAGCAAAAACAAATGAAATGTCAGACTGAAAAGTTTGTTGTTATTTGCAGCCTGCACTGTTGTCATCAATGGATGGGTTATGCTCTATATGTATGGAGATTTGTGGCCATATCAGTTGACTTACGCAATTGAATGTTTGACTAGATGGGTGGGCATCACCTTGGGTCACCATGCTCCACGCTTGTGGACAAAGTCCGGACTCTGCCTTATCAGGCGAGTACTATCTATGCGTATACTCTGGGTCATGTCAGAAGCTATCAGAGATCCCCGGAGAATTCAATAATAATCAGCAGCGCTTTGGAAACGCTGAGCACTGCACTGTTTATGCCAGAAAGTCCGACACCGAGTTTAGCTGCGCAAGCGGATTTTCAGTAAAGTAAAAACAAAAAGTACAGACAAATCGAGGACGACAACCGACCGAACAACGCTGGCGACAACAAGCGTGCTTGATTCCAGGGAAAAAAAACATATAGAAAAAACCCAACTAAATATATAAAACACTCACACCAGCGGCCACAAAAATAATTGAAAAACAAATGGGAAAAAGAGCGAGAGGGGAAAGAAAAATAACGCTGAAATAAAATATGAAATGTTGGCAATTAATGAACAGAAAAAAAGAGCTGTGGAAAAAATGAGCTTGCGACATGACCGATCCAACGACCGATTCAGATACAGATACAGATACCGATACCAGACGCCTCTGACTCCAACTGGGTGACCACTGGGCTTGGGTTTGAGTTTGGCCACGGCCCAGTGACTTCTGCCGGAGAATTCTGCTCTAGCATCCATGCACTGAGCGAAATTGTTCCCATAAAAGGGGACCAACTAAGAAATA